CAGTCGAATTCAATAATAAAAATATTAATTATAATCCATTTGAATGCACTGAAAGCGAAGTCAAGTTATTCAAACGGTCGAGTTTTGACTCGTTTCAAGTGATCTTTTCAGATTGTGTCAAATACCTCGCGCAACTTAACACCACATCACCCAACACGTGACGCTTTCATGAAATAATCCTTTGCTTTGGCTCAAGACCAGAGCTTGGGACACCTGTGTTGGCATTCGTTTTCATGAAACCATCTGTTCAAATAATTTCTACAGGCCATCACTTGTTCGACCCCTGAGCCGTTTATCCATTTGATCTCATCTGTGAGGCTCATCTCAGTGTTCGAAAAATTAGCCGTTCATCCATTCGATAATTTTCATTAGCCGTTCATCCATTCAACCTAATCCGTTCGAAAATTTTAATTAGCCGTTCCTCCATTCGACCTCATCCATTAGAAAATTTTAATTAGCCGTTCATCTGTTTGACCTCGTCTATTCGAAAATTTTCATGAGCCATTCATCTGTTTGACCTCATCCATTCGAAAATTTTAATTAGCCGTTCATCCGTTCACAGTATCCATTGCAAACGGCTTTCCTAGCCGTTCGTCACCCGTTCGCTTGCCGTTCCGTTCACTGTTCAAACGGCTACTGTTAGGAACATTTTCGTGTGAGGTCACAATTATGCCATAAGAAACACATTTGTAGCCTTGCACACTGTACGTAGCTTTTTTTAAATTTATTTAAACATTATCATAAATTACTGACCCATCACTGTAAATAGTTGCCAAAAAGCCTTTTAAGAAGCAATTATTAAAGATTATCTTTATCATAACAAACGTTTTGATAGAATGCTATTAGGGACTCCATACACTGTTTTATAGAGTGCTCAAAATCGATGGTTGACACTGTAACGTAACACTGCTTTTCACAGCAACACTGTCACAATACGCCACTTGCATTGTAACACAACACCACTTTCCCGTCACGGTCACGCCTGCTATACATTTCGTATTGTGAGCTTGAGAACGTCTGTGGATATTCATTTTCAACTACAATTAATTATGGACAAACTGTAGTGGCCTCAGTTGACCAGCACTTGCTTAGCAGGTGTCGTTACCTCTGATAGAAAACTTAAACATCAAGCGCCTGTAACTCCCGTGAGGCTTAGCGCTCACACTGTGCATGGCAAGAAAAACAGTCACCATGTTTGACATGTTTCTCTTAAGGCTGCAGAACTTGTATGGAATTCTGGATATTTTCCAAGTTTACTAGCGGACAGCTCCAATATGAGGTACGTTCTTTCAC